CTGTGTGCCTTTGGCAGTAAAATGCATTGCTTTTTGAGGAAGGAACCGGAAGTGCTCAAAATGCTAACTTACTTCCGGGTTTTACGACGCGTCACTGCGGTTCTCTATTTAGCTTTTCCCGTTCTTGTGGTGTGTTATATAGGTTTTTGGTGCATGTAAAAGGTCTAATCATAGTGTAGTGATTGATATATCAAGGTAAATGCCTAATTCCCAAATCATCAATACACCATACTAAAGCTCCATTCTATAATTTTAAATAAAAACCACACACTTGGCAAAGGTTTAAGGCTGCAGCCACACGAGGACGATAACGGAAACGCACCAAAATTGTTATCAAAAAAGTCTTCCGTCCACACGCAATAGGCACCAGAAACGTGTCCGTCCACACGAGACAGCTCGAACCGCTGGAGACGCTGTAGTACATATACCGGGCCTGTAAGTGGCGCTGTACTTCTGCCACAAAATACACCAAAAGCAGCGAAGAAGACTTCTCGCACATGCATGGTTGCCATGGTTGCCCTTCTGTTTAATCTCCGCGCTGGATTTAGCAGCAGAGGTGGGGTTTCACCGGTCAACATGTCCGTTAAAGTTTAAATCTTCCGGGCAAAATTAGAAAAGTGCCGGTCAAAGGTCTTCTTTGTTATTTATTGAGCTTTAAAGAGTAATAATACACGGAGGACGGAGCCTCTCAGTATCCGTGGTCTCATGCAGCTGGCTGATCCAGTAATGACTGACCCGACATATTTATAACTAGTTTAGGTAGTTTGAGAGGTAATTAAAATAGCTAAGGGTGATGATCTAACTTGAAATGTGTGTTTTGTTCCGCTCATCGCTCCATCACAGCGGGCGGAGCTGGTTATCATGCAGAGCTGCGTGTCTCCTCTCCTGTCCGATTAGACTTCACTCGCGTTTATGTCCATATCGATCAAATCTAGCTGGAAGCTCCTGCTGGGTGCATTGTCCTGCGAGATACCGGGACCTGGCTCGAAACACTGGGGCTATTGCGTCATCGTTAGCAGGAAATGATCGTTACAGGGCGTAATCACAGAGCCGTTTGGCCCCCCAGAGCGTTTCGTTCGCCTTGGGACTCGTTATCGTTTTCTGCGTTTCCATGTCGGCCTCGTGTGGCCGAACCGTCTATCTGATAGAGAACTGTAGCAGATACGACCGTTATCTTCCTCGTGTGGCTGCAGCCTCAGTGGTGGTGTATTTGAATAAGGTAGACCGTTTTTACCTCTAAGGTCCGGAGTGACAGATGGACTCAGTCTAACTGACACTCCCACAGTTCCACAGTTCTCACACTGACCTTGGCTGTCACAACAGTCATTTCGGCTCATTTGACAAAAGAGCAAACACATGACACATAAGCACTTTGACACATAAGCTCCTGGGCTTTTGGACACGGCAGCTCTAACAATAACTTTTGGTGAAAAATAAATGTGTAGAAGTTAACTGAACAAGCATCACACACAACCCCCACACCAAAACCACCAACACTCTGTCTGCAGGGTCAGACAGGCTGTGTGTGTGGTGAATAGCGAGTGAGATGGAAGCAACTGAAGAATGTGTCCCAACTAAAGACTTGGCTATATCTATATTTATGCTGGAGCTGCTCTCGACTCAATGATCTGGCCTTCAATAGAGACATAACCAGCAACTACATTGATCATTAATGAGTAATTTTTCATGCAGAAATGCTGATTTCAGCCTCTCAAGTAAAGTATATTCTGCTTTTCTTGGTTTTGAAGCATTTGAAAGTGAATATTTTGGAATAACACATTTAAAGACATCTCCTTGGACTTTAAATAACTTTCATGGACATTTTGTCACTTTATTCTGACATTTTGTAGACAAAACTTATAAATATAATCCTCTGTTTCAGGCAAATAATGAATGAATAGCCAGAGTAACCAGATAAATGACAGAAACGTACTCTATGGTTGTTAAAAACGTCAGGAATCTTAAACGTACGCTTGGAGAAAAAGCTTCTAATTGCCTGTGCCTTCTGTGACCTGACTTGTCACATTCAACACTTCCACTAGGAACGCACCCCGCCAAAGGAGGACAGACAGCTGCTGCTAACAGCATCAGGGAGCGCTCTGATTGGCTTACAGCAGCTCTGAACATAATCACACCGTCCTCCACCTGGCCCTCCGTGCTTATATCAGCACTAACTCAAACTCATATGTTGATAATGTAATGGTGCGTGCAATGTGGACATTTGGTGTTAAGATGTTCCTGGCAGGTGTGATGGAGGATGTGAGATGGTTGTGAATTTTAATATTATTATTATTAGCTTACTCATTTTTTCCTTGTGTGTTTACAGGCTGCATGTCCACATGCTGAATGGTGCACTACTGGCATTAATGTTCCCTGTAGTCAACACTAGACTGGTAAGCAACTAGGACTGGAAAATCTCCGTTGAAAGCTCTTTGATGCTCCATTTTTCTGTATCTGAAGTGGAGGTGTCTTCATAATCCAGATACTTATTTTTTTATGACAGCTCAGCAAGGGAACAAGTTAAATCCCTTAGTTTTGACATGTTTAAGATGACTACTTATCTTCTCTTTCTCAAACATTTGACAGTGTTATGATTGTTACAGTACATTTAGCATATCCAAAGAAAATAATCTAAAGAACTAAATTCAAACATTTGGAAAAAAAATATGGTCTCAAGAGCAAAGCTTAATTGATGATGGGGAATCTATTTTTACTAAAGGAAATCGCTGGCTGCTTGAAAGGCTCTCACTGACAGCTGCAGACGAGCCCCAGATGCAGAAGATAATGCACTCTAAAGTATATTTGCTTACATTTAATCAAGTTTGGCCAGTTTGAGCTTTGTCCAACATGATCCCTGTGAAGATCAAATGTTCATACTACAGAACAGCTCGTACCAAAGAAAAGCAAAGGCTTCCTGTCATAACTCTATTTCCCTGTTAGATAAAGAACCTTTTTTGAACAAGGAAGTATTTCTGCACAGAACTAGTGATGTGCCCTATAGCGTCAATAGTACATAATGTAATAGGTCATCTTGCTCTTTTCAAAATAGTCTTCACCACAGATCTAAAAATGAATGTGAGGAATGAACATGATTTTTACAGTTTCAACAGAATTGACTAAAGAGGCAGCATACTCTCATAAATCTACTTGAGTTATACATTTGTATTAAAAATGTAAAAAGTAGTGGTATCATTTTATAGATTACACTATTGATAATAAGTATCCCTAGTCATGCAGATGGTTTCTTTCTAAGCCAAAAAGGTATATTTATTGCTAAAGTGGTTTTCATTTTCATTCTCCCCTGAGTCTGAGGCCCTGATCTTAGGTTGGCTTGAGCTCTCTGATGCCACGCTCCCTAATAACTCCACTCGCTAGCTGTAGAATAATGGATAGAAATAACTCAACAAACCCCGACTGAAGCGCTGCTCTCATGCAGAGCCAGCAGAGCACAGTTCAAACTGCAGCCAGCGCCGGTTATTAATGCTGCTCTGAGGTCAGTGCATTAGAGCGCGGCGCAGACAGAGTGCAGGAAGTCCCACACTGATTTAATGTCCGTCCACACCAAGAATGATAACTATAATGATAACTTTAAGTACACGCTGCACTCTCCAGCTGTGTCTGAGCCGTACAGTGGATGGTTATGAGCGGTTACTGCCGCATGTTGTGCAGGGAATATGCATAAGGGTGTGAAAAATAAATAAAATACACTTTATTGCTAATAGAAAATAAATGTTAAAAGACAATTGTATTAATCCACCCTCCTGTGTGGGTGACAGTGTTTCTATCATACATCAAATCACTCTTCAATGAGTTGATTGATGGTTACATCTCTAAACATAAAAAAAAGATATCTTTTAAGTATGGTGTTTACCAAAGACATGATCCTAAGTTTCATGGAATAGCATAAAAAACACAATCTAAAAAGATGAATCAACTACACCACAATGGCAACAAAGTTGTGATGTGGACCCTTGTGTTTTTAAAACAATATGTTTATAGTTATTGTTATATTGCTGAGTGTGACCTCTTAAAGGTCACCTATTATACTCTTTCAACACTATAATTTAGGTCTCAGATGTTTAAAAAACATGTCTCTGCAGTGTTTGGCTCAAAATACCCAACTGATCGAGCATTGTAGCATCCCATAAACCCCTCTGTTTTCAAAAGAGCTGATTATGTGTCTGTTGCTTTAAATACAAATGAACTGGCACTTTTCCTGAAACTTTCCGGGTCTATTAACACAGAGAGGACACATATTTATGTATGAAACACTACTTGACAAACTTGATTTTGCATAATAGGTGAGCTTTAAAACTAGATGCGATGATACAAATCTTAGAAATACGTCATTCAGCATGCAAAGAAAAAAAACTCCCTTCTTTGGGATTTGAGACTTTGCACACTATTTACATGCACACACACCCATACAACACTAAAGGATAGGGAAAAAAAAGCAAAAATAAAGGGCCTCTTTAAAACGATATACATTATAAGCAAATTGGATAAGCAAATGTTCTGCTTAATGTGGGTCGTTTAGAAGTGTAATGGTGTATTCTCTCCTCAGCTGCCGTTTGAGAAGGAGATCTACTACATCCAGCACTCCATGCTGTACCTGGTGCCTCTATACCTGTTCAGGAAAGGAGGTTAGTGTTGACCTTTAAAAATCTCTCCACTCACATTGACACTCAAGGTGAAATACCTCTCATGTATCAACCACACAAGGCTACCATGACCTTTTTTATCTTTGGATGAATTCCATTTTGTTGAAAGTGTTTGAGTCAGTGCACCTGCTGTGTCTTTTACGGCTCTCCTAAATCATGTAATTATCTGTTTACTCCAAACAAACACCTTTTGCTCTCGCCCGTTACAACATGAAGGCGTATGTGCATAAACTGGAAACCTCATTTTGCACATCTAGATGCATTTACAGTAATCTCACCTGTAAGCAAGACACGCTACAAACATGTTGGTACAGGGGGAAATTCCTGTGAGTGCATATGGTTTGGTTGAGAGCTTTAAAAAAAAGATTTCATGTCTAAATGTAACTAGGGCGCATCACAGTAATCCAACCTCTGCATGAAGCGCCTCATTGTTCATTAGCAACGTAACACTGGAGCCTCACAAAAGGAAGCGTTCTTTGTTCTTGTTCAAACTGACATAATCGGTGCACATTTAATGTCTTCCCCTGGTAGTTCTCTAGCAGGAGTGAGGAAACAGGAAAAGTCAGTTTGACACCGCATCCTGTTACCGTGGTTGCAGGGTGTTCCATCTGTTGACATGACTGGCGTCTTGCAGGGGAGGTCAGCTGGGCCAGAGCTGCCACATTCTGTGCGCTCGCTCTCTCTTTAACCTACATAACTGAAGTTCTTTTTTCTGCAGGTGTGTACAAGCCGGAGCCTCTGGGGGACATGTGGTGGGCTCTGCTCTCCACCGGCCTCCTCTTCCTCTACCACTTCCTCTTCCTGCAGCTCCTCGGACTGGTAAGATGGAGCCCTCTGCTGGATACAGCACTATACGTCCCTATGCAGAGAACATGAGTGAATGGTCTGATCCCAATGCCTCGCCCTTATGACCTGGACCCTCAGAGACATAACTGACCCTACCGGGCCGAGCTGCAAGAGCTCGACAGCGCATATAAACCACAGTTGTTCCAGCAGCTCATGAGTCAAACAAGCAAAGGAAAACTGTGATTGAATGATAAGTAATACTGAAACGGTATAAAGAACAAGACACATAACATCTGAATACATATACACCTCTCCTGTTACGCATTGGATGATTGCACCTCCTTAAATAATATATAAATGTGCATATTCATAACACGTTAAATGCTAGTGTGGGATTTGGGTGTTTTTTTCACTGCCTAATTTGAACGTCCTCCAGGCTCTTGCTTTTGATTCAGGGCTGATACTGACTCATTCAATGTAATGTTTATCTACTACTTACATGACATACTGGAATGTATTCTCCTGTTTTAGCTTGTGCCTGTTTGATGCCGATTTTAAAAAAATACACTTGAATTGCAATTCCTTTTTTAATTTTGAAGATTTATATAGTAATCTAGTGCAAACAAGCTTGCACTGAGCCTGATCCTTTAATAACAGCAAGTGTCATTAAGTCCTCTGTATAAGAATAAGCATATTTAATTATACATTACAATTCACTTTTCACAGTAAGAAAAGCAATTACACAACTATTACAAAAACTTCAGACTTTAAAAGTAAAATGTTACACAATATGCTTCACACAATACAACAAACCCTTCCTCCATCTGCACACAAAGCACTAAATGACTCAATAATAACAACGATCAATACATGAAAAAAAAAAAACAGGAACTAAAGAAACATCACATCTCCTCACAGTACAGTGAGGAAACACCAGAGGCAGGATTAGACATACAGTATTTAAAAAAAGAAAGGACTTAGTATAACAACATTACATACCATGAAGTAAGGAGAATGTAATGGATGGAAGGATAAATACAGATGAGCTAGACTAAAAAGGTCTTGAGTTATCTTGTATGCCTCACCTTGTTTTGTTTTTCTGAATTAATGGATAATTCATTCATTCTTTTTGTATTCCATGTTGATTTCTGTTCCGGCTATACAATGATGTAAGTGCTTCACCAGTGGCTGTTTAAGGGCCTGCCTGTCAGCTCTGTTCCTGCATTCTCATAATTTTCTTTAGAACTGAGTCTCATTTTCGCAGCTGGTTACATATCCTATTCTTTGACACTTGCAATTATTTTGTCCACCCCGCTGTACATAGAAATTAGAGGCAGCAGCATGAGTGAGTCACGTTGAGTTGAACAGCAATTAGAAGTGTAAATCCACTTGAGTTAGAAACCGAGGTTAATAGAGGGGATGAAAAAGGGCCAAATGGTGTCTACCTGGCTGCAACATTGTGTGCAAAAGTACACGGAAGTATCATGAGTATCAAACTCTCACATAAAGTCACTTTTACCAATCTTTATTTTTCCAATTCCTTCAAACTAAAGGTCTCGCTCTGAAATGATTGCAGGTTATTCACATCACCCTTTGGTTCCTAATGAAGCATCGAGAGCAGCTCGGTGCATTTCCCCTTTCAGCCAATCAGATTGTCTGACCTGTTTTTTAGGTCTTTTGATCCTTCATTTCACCTAATGCACACCTCATATCGGCATTTATTCTGAAACTCTGGTCTTCATGAGACTTCTCTGCTCTGTTAACTTTTCCGATCAAGTTTTATATCGAGAATTCAGAAGCCTATTTTGAGTAAATATCAAAAATGTATATTTAATCTGAATCTTGGCAGATGTTTGTACTTTTCCTGCAAGAGGTTGAGATTGCCTGATGATAACCCAAAGTCTACAGGCTTTATTTAGCTTATATGTCTCTTTTTACTAAGTCTTTTTTCATGTGAAGGCACTTGTGAGATTAGTTTCTCCAAGTGTTTTAAAGTGTGCTTGGACACTGGTTCTCCGGCTTCTTCTCCATCAGCTGAAATATGGGGGATCAGTTTAATGTTGGTTGGGGCAGAAAAAGGGCCGACAAGTTAATCATCATTTATTTTCATTTACAACTTTGGTTTGTGATGTTTATGGAAACAAGGAAATCCAGATAAAACCATTATTGTGCCACATTCCGGGTTAAAATAATGAACTTGTTTTGTGTTTCGCACTACGGCCTTTCCCTTCTATTTACTTGGACCATTTTGACTAAATGACTGCCTTATTGAATATAGTTTACCCAAATGTTGAACGTGTCAAAGTATTTAGGTTTCAGTAAGTGGTGGAAATGCACTATAGCATATTTTTTACAATAAATATTTATGTTTAGCTTTCAGTAGGTTGTGGCAGTGCACTATAACATATTTAAATGTATTTATTTATGAATGTGTAACTTTTGTTTATATACTTTTAATATTAAATATTTATATGTGGTTTTCAGTAGATTGTAAAAGTGCACTAAACATAACGACATTGTCTTTTTTTTAAATTATAATATCATCATATAATATATTTATTTTATTCTCACATTTATAATTTACTCAAATAACTGTTTGGTATGGACCAGATGTGTAAATTAACTATGTAGATTTACTCAATACTTTACTTAAGTTCAATTTTGAGGGACTTACTTGAGTATTTCTATTCGTGCTACTTTGTACTTCTACCCCACTGCAATTCAGAGGTGATTCGTGTTCTTTTACTCCACTACATTTGTTTAATATCTTTAGTTAGTTTACAGATTTAAATGAATGATGTGAAATATAATCAAGTGTTAAATCAGACTTTAGTTCCACCTGGAGTAAATTCACAAGCTACCCTGCAGTATACAAAGTCATTCAAACTAGCTGCACCTTAACCAGCTTTGAGAACACTTTCATGATCAATCATTATCAAAAACATATAATATATATATTATTCTGAAATGGACAAATCTGCATAAACAATACTTTTACTTTTGGTACTTTGAGTACCGGTATATTTAGTTGCCAAGTCTTTTCTACTGTTAACTTAAAGAAATGGTTATAAAGCAAAGGACACTAAATTAAACTCAGCCATGGTAGTAAAACTTATTTGATTACTACTAGCATCATATGATGAACAATTCTGTCTCTGTCTCCCAGGCGACCGAGGTCAACCTGAACAACATGCTGTGCCCGGCCGTGTCCGACCCCTTCTACGGCCCCTGGTACCGGGTCTTGGCCACGGGCCACCAGACCCTGTTGACCCTGGTTCACGGGAAGGTGCTGACCCTCCTCTCGCAGCACACTGGCTCCATGAGCAGGTTTCTACTGGACACACTCCGACTGCGCAGCAAGAAAGTCGACTGAACGTCCCTTAGGATTCACACAGACCCAGCCTTTCTCTCTAATGTCTGCTCTTGTCACGGAGACTTCTTCTTTTTTTATCAACATTTTTAATGCATCTTTTTAGGACTTACCAATGTTTTACTGAAGCAAGTGAGCATTTCAGGGCCAGTGGATCAATGTGTCATTCTTTTAGTGTGGTAGTTGTACTACATTCATTCATACTTGCATGCACAAACATAATATGCATTTTAGGGCTGGTAGTAAGCATCGTGGAGTTTATTTTACAATACAATTTTGGAAAGAAGAATTTTTAAAGTATATTTCTCAAGCTGCCTTTTTTGTACGTTTTCAGGACAGGAAATAAGTCACCAATCTGCAGTTGTTACACTTTGAGTTCTTTACTATTTTAGCTATATCATACGTTGGTAAAGCTGCCTTTTTCTCTTAGTCTCAAGTGTGTTCTGAAAAAGATTGTGTATGTGAGACGTTGTAAAAGTGAATGCTTGTTTATAGTCGGATGTCTGTCATGTATGATGACCTTCATGTATGATGACCTCTGTGTTGTCATGACTGAAAATGTGTTCATGTTGTCCCTCTGTTCCCATATGTACGTCATGAGTAGCCTCTTTTTTGCATTTCTGTCTCCAGCCCTCTCAGATCATTCCAGTTGTGATAATCAGGGGACACAAGGATGTATTACATGCAAAAAATATGAAAGACGATACATGGATATACACAGGGGGGGTTCCTACCTTCGCCAAGGAGGTTGTTTTTTTATATCAAACCATATTCGTTTGGGTATGACCGTCACTGCATCGTTGATGTTTGCCGAGACGGAGAAGATCTTGATAAAATACGCATTTATCCTTGAATTGGACACTTGGAAGAAATCTGTTGCTCAATCTTTGAGTTTATCTACAAGGCACCTGAAATCACTCCCAGGCTCAGTTTAGTGCACAGGAAACGCATCAACATTGGGTCTGCATGAAGTCACTTTGGGTCATTAAATAACGAGCCATTGGTGAGAAAGTATTAACCAGCATTGGCCATTCAGTAATGGTTTATATCATTTCACGTGTTGGGAATGAGTGTGTATGTTACTGTAGCATATAATACTGTACTTCACTGTAAAGAAGGGATAAGACTTTTGTATTTCTATCAGTTTGAGTGTGTGTGTGATGTACTGATAATAAAAGTTATTTCAGTTCTCATTGAGTATATTAAGCTTCTTTTTATATTCTAACCATGCTCAAGGTACATTTTTAAAACCCTTGTCTTAATTAACACTTTCATTGTACAGTTTTAAGATCATTCCCATGTTCCCTGAAGTGTATTAGCACATAATCTAAAACTGTTCCTTCAGTCTGTATTCGTTTACCATGACATGGGCTATTCTGGAAAACCCGATATAGTGGTGTTCTGGTTCCCAGAATGCAGAATGACTCAATATAATTGGTCTACAATTGATGGAACTTATCAAATGTTTGAGTCATGGACTCACCAAAGGTTATAGCGTAATGCTTTCTAAATCTGAGTCAAGTCCAGAAGCCAGCAGCCGTTTTGCTTTTAAACTTCGCCAACTGGCTCCAGCTTCACATTAAACAACAGATTCTCGACAAGAGTGAGCTTACTTATTCAAAAATCTCCTAACTTCCTCAATTAATACGTCTTTCCAGTCCAGCACGCTGAAGCCAGGCTGCTGTCTGACTCATACAAACTCTGGCTTTTGTAACGTATGTTTGGACACATTGTTCTCTATGTTTGGACACATTGTCCTCGTGCGGCCGGGGCCAAAAGCTTTAAGCGCAGCCGCGATTCAACTGAAGTGAGATGTAGCACCCATAGGGTAGCACCGCGTCAATACAGGCAGTCAAGTGAGGGGGGAGTATGCTGCTCTTTACCACAAGAGCTTGTCGTTGATGCATAAACACACAGGGGAATATTGGGAATAAATGTACTTGAAATTCAAAATAATTAAACCTCAGGATCATTTTATACTCAGGATGTGGAGAGCTGAGAGGCGGCATGAAGCACTTACCTGTTCTCCTGTTTCCTACCCTGCCCCTCGGTCAACACACACACAATCACCGCTTCGGGAAAGTGAAGGGTAATGGAACTGATATGGTTGACACGTTATAACAAATGGCAAGGCAGTATAAATGCCTGGTGAAATGAAGTGAATTGAATGGAAATTCAAAATGGACTTGATGTAACAGCAGTTCATTTATTCAGGCAGATGGAGGCCCAGAGGCAGACTCAGCACAGGAAGCAAAGTGCTGGTCAGCACTGCGTTCGTGTGTGTGTGTGTATGTGTTTTACACCAGCAGCAGACTGAACTATTTCTGAGCCCTTAAAGCCCTGAATATCATGTAACCGGCAGCAATGTATTTTCAGACGAGGACTCGGTGCTCAGCGCTTCGGGTGGAGGAACTTGCAGAGACGTAGGTCAGGCATACCAGTACGGCCCAAAAAGCACTGATAGAAAATGATTTAGCTCAAGGAAGTGTGGTCTGTTGAACCTCTGCACCCTGCTGTGACGTCACTTTTGAAGACGCTGAACCACTTTGGTGGAAGTCAGCTACAGTGTTTAAGCTAGACAAAAGAAGTGTGACTTTAAAGGGGCCCTATACTGCTTTTTAGGGTATTACCTCTCCTGTAGTGTTATATAGGTTTTTGTGAATGTAAATACACAATAACAATTATTACGAACTGAGAGCTTCTTTAAACTCCCACAGATACAATCATTTTGACTGACTTCCTATTGCAGTCTTAGTACTAGAATTACATATTGTAGAAGTTACTGGAAACCCTGAGTGTATTTAAGGCTAAGTAAACAACAATTATTTGACCACAAGTCAATAACCTTAACAGGTTGTTGCTACATTTATTGTTGATTTCCATGAAATAAACGTAGCTTCAGCAAGGAGAATCAAAAAGAAAAATGTACATAGCCAATCCAACATCAAGCTATTTGTGTCAACACTAGAGCTCTGTACACAATGTTCGATGAAGATGATTTATTAAAGACACCCTGTTATGCTTGTAGGGGTTTCCCCTTTCCTGTAGTGTGTTGTATAGATTTGTGTGCATGTAAATGTTAAGCAAAGGCTAAAATCCCAAAGTTCCCTCCAGAGGGAGTTTCTGTCTTATACAGTTTGAGAAAAGACCTTTTTGAACATTAAAGCATGTAAACATGTCTCAGTAGAGGCACAAGATACAGATATGAACCTGAAAATGGGCATACAAAGGGCCTGTATAAGCTCACTATAGTAGATCCCATGATCTTCTTCAGCAGATGCAGTTTCCCCAGTTGTCATGACGATCCTTAATAATGTTCTATTGATGCGGTCACATCACTTTTCAGTAACTAAGACTCCGTTGTTCAGTTTAAACCATACTTTTGTGATGTTTTATAACTGGGTTTTTGGTACCTTTAATGGCATCTTTATCGGTCAGCAGAGTCTCATTTAGCCCCGAGCCACAGCATGTGCCCTGCATGATCTAATATCATAAAAAGGGTGTGACGGCTGAGGTCATCTCACAGAATTATAGATAGGGAACAGAGAGTATTAGGGCCAGGCATAAGGAGAAAAAATGAGAGGAGCAAGTTGTTCCAAACCTTCTTTTCAAGCATTAGAAAAATTAGGAAGAGGAAGATATGTCGAGACTTAAGTCAAAATGTTTACAGTAAATAGGAATGTCGATATAACAATAAAGTCTGGAAAAAATGGAAATGTCGAGAATAAAATCGAAATGTTGAGTATAAAGAAGAAATGTCGAGAATACATTGAACGACAATAATGATGTCAACACATTCAGAAAACATTTGAAATAAAATGTTGTTTAATAAATGTTTAGAATAAAATCAAAGTTAAAAAAAAAAGTGGAAATGTCCAGTTAAAACGTCGATTAATTATGTTGAACTTTCAGTTTTTCTGCCAGGCAGAAGAAATAATAAATCAGAGGAGAAACATGTCCAATTGAAAGTGTAAAAAATAAATTACACTAACAGCGTTAGCGCATATACTGAAAGTTCAACTTTGTTCATAAAAATGCAAAACAAATAAAATATCCTAACATGTATTCCGTATGTCTGACCCTCATACTCTCTCACTTTTGTCCACCTCTACTTTAATTCTGTAGGTGTGATTGAAATGTTTAGACTGAGGACAGCCTTCGTTGAAATGTTTAGTAGAAAATAGTCAAATTTAAAACCTCTAATGCAAGTTTGGCATACAAAATGAGTCCCATACACTTCAAATGTACACTTTGAATATTTTATCCCAATCTAATCGAGCAAACTGAACACAATATATGTAGAGTATTAAAGTCAGTGTGCAACTGACATAATCCATACCATTCCTTAGCAAATGAACACATTGGTTTTACACATATTTAAATGTGAAACATACTGTAATAGCAAACACTATGTGTGGAAGTGTTAAAAAAAAATCAAATGACACAATGTGTTTTCAGTTGATTTTGTATTTTTTATTGAATAAATGATTTAAACGGTAATAACAATGTTTAAAACTACATTATCTTCACAGCCATTGCTTACATACTCATCTATATATATTCTTTCAACCCTCCCCACACTTTAGCTTTTTTTTTCCTTTAGTTTCTTTTTTTTGGTGTGTTTTCTTTTTTTCCTTTTGGAGTCATACCATCATATTAAATGCCCGTTTCAAGTCTTGTCACAATAACAGCAATTCAATAGGAAAGGAGGAAGGGTCTAGTTCTACAGGGGATAGATTCAAGTTTCCATTTTCTTAATATTCCATACATTTTTTTTTTGTCTTTTTTAAATGTACTTAAGAAAAAGATCCAAAAAACCGAAAGGAAAAGAAAAATAATTGGTATGAGGCGTTACACCAGGCAACCCTCCCAGCCATCAGGCCACTGCAACAGAAAGTCTTTTTTTACAGTGACACGTCTTAGTGTCTCAGAAACTCAGAACATAGAAAACCACTAAAATAATTTTGAAACTAGATCCAAAATATTCTTTTGAAAAGAATTTATTTTTGATGTACAAAAACAGTCATTTTATTTTTATGATGTTTTTTTGTTTTAATATAAAAGCTTCAAACACAAGTTTATTGTAGTTCTTATTTCATTCGTCATTATCATTATTATTATTGATTCATTTATTCTCTTTTTTTGTTGTTAATATTCATCTATCAGTGCGATTGTGTACCAGTGCAGCTACTGGGTCCAGAGTAACAAAAACAGGCTTTTCATCTTTAATGGCATAAAAAATAAGGAAATATCCATCTTTTATACAAAGTATAACTGCTGGTCTTTAGGGAAAAAAACGTTTATAAACCCATAAAGCTAGGAGGCACACCATGGGATTTTCATTTTTGTAAATTATAGCAATAATATACTAATACTACTTCTAATAATAATAATAATAATAAACAAAACAAGTAACAACAATTTGCAACCATCCTTGATGCCATGTACGGCTTCAGAGAGACTCAATGACAATTCATTGAGAAGTTGCTTAACAAGTCAAGACAGTTGAGAAATTGCACACACACAAAACAAAATAGACAGAAAAACATTTTGTCAATTTGCAGGGNAACTATAGTAACGCAGTGTAGGCGGAGCCGTGACGTCATCTTCAATGAGAACCACAGAAAAACAACATCAGCCGTTAGCTGTTAGCACTCAAGCTCACACTGTGAGCTTGAGTGCTAACAGCTAACGGCTGATGTTGTTTTTCTGTGGTTCTCATTGAAGATGACGTCACGGCTCCGCCTACACTGCGTTACTATAGTTACTGCCCCAGCTACTAAACTGTAATGGAAACGCAGCATAAAGTGAGTCAGTCCTAACAAGGCCTAACGAGGCCTAGCCATGCCGAGCGAGGCCGAGCGAGGCCCTGTAGTGGAAATGCGCCATTACAGGCCCAGCATATGTACTACAGTGTCTCCAGCGGTTCGAGCTCTCTCGTGTGGACGGACGCGTTTCTGGTGCCTATTGCGTGTGGACGGAAGACTTTTTTGATAACGATTTTGGTGCGTTTCCGTTATCGTCCTCGTGTGGCAGCACTCGCTGCAGCCTTAGCAGCCTTGGATATTAAAGTGTAGAAGAGGCAAAATCATTCATTACTTTTTTCTATTTTAACAAAGAACAGGCAAGTCAAAAGGCATGAGTGTGTGAGAGAGGAAAATGTGCAGTATCTATGTTGAAGCATATGGTGTAG